AGTGTCTTGTTCAACACTAGAAGGTTTATCTCCCAGTTTGTCTCGCATTGTTCATTATATCTGTATGATTCGTTATCATCAGGATGAGTCTTTTCTCGAGGGAATATCTGCTTTGTTCGGTCAAGTGCAGAGTTTCGGACATCAGCATGTGAGTTGCAATTTTGTTTTCTAGTAGAAACCTCAGGTAATTAGAAGTGGAATAGTAAATTTGGAAGATCAATGGAATGGAATTAAAAATGGTCTAGTATGGGCGGTCTACCAGGAAATCAGGCTGATTTGAGACCTTAGATTTAGGGCTATGTCGTCCGGCGCCGATCCGAGTTGGAGTTCCAGGTCGGCGGCATGTGTTACTAAAGGTCTCACCTTGGAAATGTATGATTTACTTCAGGAAGAGGCAAAGTTGGGTCCCCAGAATTTTTGGCCATTTCGAGTGATCGCCAGGATTGGCAAAGTTGCCTATATATTGGATCTTCCTGAGGGGATCAGTCAGATTAATAGCACTTTCCTTGTTTCGCAGCTGCGAAAGTGCGTATTGGATGAGGATGTTGTGGTTTCCTTGGATGATATTCAGGTCGATGAGCGCCTGAATTATGTTGAAAGGCTTGTAGCTATTCTGGAGAGGAAGGTGAATTTTTGCGTAGCAAGGAAATTCCTCTGGCAAAGGTAAGTGGCATCATTGGAAGGGCTCCTAGTGGACCTAAGATCCAGAGGCGGAAGTACGGGAACATTACCCATATTAGTCCTCTACAGCAAACTTCGAGGACGAAGTCTAGTTCAAGTGGGAGAGAGTTGTAACATCCTGGGTTTTTGGTATTTTCAAATCGCTCCTTTGGTTTTAAGCTATGTCAATTTGGTCCTTGGGAATAGAAGGTTGCAGCCATGGGATGCCTTATTGACAATTTTGTAATTTTGGTCAGGAGGAGTACGCTAAGCGTATACAAGGGTTTGTTGAGCGTACTAGGGCGCGCCTTAGTACGCTGGGCGTACGCTTGTGTATGTTGGGCGTACTCATGTATGGATGAAAACCCTAATATTTAGTGTTTAGGTGGTATATAAGTGTCTTTATAGCTCATTTCTCCCAACATTTTCAGCCTCCATATCCTTAGGACGTTGTGCAAGACCCTAGCCTTTATATGTGTGAGTTTGAGTGTGTGTGTGAGGGTTCTTTGTGTTGAGAAGAAGAAGAAGAAGACATTCCTTGAAGAACTTTGGTGTGGGATTCAAGTTATGGATCTGAGATCTTCATCTCCTTGGGAAGCTCTAGAAGGTAAAAAGCTCTAACCTTTACTTGTATTTCCCTAAGATCTTGCATGGAAAGTTTTATGTGTGCTTAAGTCCTTTTTGTTGGTCTTGATGAGTTGAGCTACTCTAAGACCAAAGGATCTGTCCTTTTAGAAGATTTAGAGTGTTTTAGGTCATAAAAATGCTATCTTGGCCCATTTAGTGGTTGCATGCATGTTATAAAAGGTCTTAAGTGGTTAAGACAAGCAAGGGTTTTGAGTCTAAAGATTTATTGGCCATGCATAACCACAAAGTTGGAAACTTTATGGTTTGGGACACCTTTTTATCTGTAGAACTGATTTGGGACGTTTGGACGTGATGCATTAAGAGTTTAATGAAGACTTTCATGGCCACATCGCACACTAGGCATACCAAGGAGTACTTCGGGCGTAGGTGGTCAGCGGTGCGCTTTCTGGTCAAGGCGGGTATGTTGAGCGTGCAGCTGGGTCCGTCCTGCGTACTCAGCCTATTGGGTTTAGCTAGTTTAGGCTTCAAGTTGGGCCACCTTTTGGGCCTAGATGCTTAGGCTCTTATTGGACCATCTGAGTACTGAGTATTTTGGTCTAAGTAAAGTATTGAACCTTGGAGTAAGGCCCTAATGGGAGTTGGGCCCTATTTGGAAAATTTGGCCAAGTTTGGTCTTTGTGCGATTATTTATTGTTGGGCCTTCTTGGACAAAGAATTGGGCATGGGTCGTTGCCCAAGTAGGGAAAGGGTAAAGTGGTCATTTACCCTAAGTATGAATCCTTAGTCAATGATGGTAATCCAATTGTTAATTGTATGTTTGTTTGATGTGACAGTTCGGGATTTTTCGTGAGCCAGCAGTTAAAGGTTTTAGTGTGGTTTGACTTTGTGAGGTAAGTTTTTTTCACTATACTTTCGGGCCGAAGGCACCAAGAGAGGCCCATTGGTTTGACAACTTGATATTGTTGATATGCTGAGTATGATATAGATATACATGCTAGTCTTGATATGCTAGTCTGATATATCTGTAGGACTACCTGTGATATTGCATGTTTATCTGTATATGATATTATTTGTTATATGTCGACATATTGTGTGGGTTGGGTTGAGGTAGTACTGCATTGTGTTGTAGCCAACAAACCGTGGAGTATGCCAGATATGAGCTGGGCCAGGGAGGGCATGTCATACTAATATGGAGGACTCATGAGCATTCCAGATACGAGCTGAGAGCCGGGAAGGGCATGCCAGACTCGTACTGAGCGCTTGGTGGTATTCAGTCTAATGACTGATCAGGTCGGGGAGCAAGCCAGACATAAGCTGTGGGCCAAGGGCAAGCCAGAATTGTGATGTGGGCTCAGGGGTAATCCAGTCTATTAAGTCGTGGACACATTACATGTTGTTATTATAATTGTGTTATTTGTTATGTATCGGTATTTTGGGGGAACTCACTAAGCTTTGGGCTTACAGTTTTGGATTATGTTTCAGGTACCTTAGAGAATCACGAGAAGGTGAAGGCGTGATCGTGCATATCCACATGTTTTTGTCTTATGATCTTGGGATTTATCTGATGTTGAAACATATTTTGAAAACAATTAGTAAACAATGATGGTTTTGGGTTTAATTAAAAAGTTAAAATTTTCAAGAATTTTATGAACGTTACACTTGTAGCCGATAGATGGGGGGATTCGACCTGGGTGTGAGATTGGCGATCCTTTGTGTGTGAAGGTGTTGTGGCTGACCAATACGATGGATTGTTGTCCATGCTTCAAGGTGTGTTGTTGTAATAGGAGCGTAATAGATAGGAATGGGAATTGGCGGTGGATAGTAAGTTCTCGGTGGGAGATACTAGGAAACATATTGATTCGCTTAGACTTCATCAGGTACATCATCGTACTAGTATGTGTCTGTGTGTATGTGGTGGGGGGGGGGGGCAATTTCTAAGTGGGTTGATCTTTCTTTCCCATCTCCGATTAATGTTGCAGAGCTTCTGTCATGAGTTGACATGATGATTATATTAAAGCCGAAAAAGAAAGTTGTGGATCTGATTATAGTGACGGAAATTTGGATGATTTGGCGATTTCGAAATGATTAGGTATTCCAATCGATGAACTTCTCAAATTGTTTGATTGAGGAGAAAGCTATTGTTACTACTTATCGGTAATATAACAGTAGGAATAAGAAAATTTTAATTACTTGGAATGTTTGGCTTCAAAATCCCCTTTTTGATCCCTAATTTTTTTTCTAGCTCCTTGCTAGTCATTGGAATGAAATCTTTATTTGTTACAAAAAAAAAACATTCTTTGATATAAATAAACTTTAAATTGTATTTATATCAAAGATCACTTATAAATAAAATTGAATTTATATGAATAATTATCTGTAAATTTAAGGATAGTTCTTTTTATTATGGGTTACGTTCATAGTATTTATAAATACTAGGTATTTTGTGTTTTGTGCTCATAATATTTGTAAATTCTATGTATTTTATTTTCAATTATATCTCAAAATTTATTTAAGCGGTATTGTTAAATAAAATAATTAAATTTATTTTTCTATTGGGAAGACATTTGTAAAATAAATGTGGATCCAAAAACAACCAATTAGAATAAAAGACATGTATAGTCTCAATGAATGTTCAAAATCAAGAGTGTGACCGGACCACTGAAAATGTTGCAAATAATTGTATTTGTTGTGTTTATATCTCTTTTATTCACTTTAAATTTCGTATGAACAATCTATCATGCACTAGTGATTTTTAGACCAATGTGTATGTTATCATATTTTACTCTATTTTTGGTCACTCATGTCAGCTTTATATTATTTTCACCTGAACCCCCCCCCCCCCCCCCACCCCCAGCTTTAATTCTAAAGGTCCCCAATTTTAAAGTTGATTTTATTAACTATATATGTATATATACATATTTCTTTGGATATAAAGACATGTTGGAGCTTCGCCCAGTGGTAAAAGCATTGTTTTATCAAACTAAGTGTCTCATGTTCCCATCTATTCGCTTACCTTTCATTCATTTTATCTTGAAAGCTACTTAAACATATACCACATCGTTCATAGATGAAACTCAGCCAACTCTCCTCTTTTATATAAATTCGATAATCCTCGTGCTTCATATTAACTCTACCTTTGAGTCCCACATAAGTTGGGAGATCAAAACCTCAGCAAACTTAATATTTATATAAGTGATTAGTTGAGACGCATTAAGAAATAGATTGAGATTTGGTTTAAGTTATAAGAATGAAGAGCTATAATCTTTTTGTTTGCTTAGAGCCCCAAATAAGTTGAGCCGTGAGTGCCTGACCACACAAAATTGATATGAAACAGCCACCTAAACACATTTCACCCTTATTTTTTTTAGTATTATATATGTACAAATAATATATCAATGTTATACTTTATTTTGTAGGAATTAAAAACAATGAATTTGATTTATTATATATATATATATATATATATATATATATATATATATATATATATATATATATATATATATATATATATATATATATATATTCCCATGTGACTTTCACATGGTTATTGATTATAAAGAAATATCACTTGTATTACAAGAACCTCTCCCTCCTTCATGTGTGTATATGCAGCGATATTTTTTGCCATTTCTAATAATGTTCTTTAGTTTGATCCAACAGAAGACAGATAATGCACCTGTACGCTCTGAATCTACATGCCTTTAATTGGCAGGTGCTGTGAAAATGACAGGAAATAAAAGGAGAGAGCCAGGGAAGTATATAAAAAAGTTGATGACATTACAAAGATAACAGGAACACTATTTTACTTGAAAATGCACTACAAATCATAGAGACTTATACAGTCATACATGTCTTTCTCAAACACAATTAATAGTGTTCTCCATAATTATTGTAATTTAGATATATATGCTTCTAATCTTCCAAACATCCATAAACATCACGGACTCACTGCACCCTGCGAAAACCACATCAACACAATTAAAGTTTGTTCATGAAAGATTTAATCGAGTAGATGAGTCTATCAACTTGAAATTGAAGAAAATAAACAGATATTTTAACATACTTGGAACAATCAGTGCTAGGACTGATCTTGTAAGGGATGCTGACACCACACTTGCCGGGGAGGCTAGCAGCGTTGCCTGGATTGACGCCACCAGAAGCACTCTTTAAACAGCCACAAGCAGTCTGACGATCAGGAGTTGTTTTTGCAGCGCTATTGAGTGATTTAACCCCACTGCAACATTCCGGTGGCACAGCACCACCATTTTTTAGGTAGGGAACGCATGGAGATAAGCTACTTACCACCTGACCACAGGTAATAGCAGCCTCTGCATAGGGTGCAGCCACCACCATGCAAGTTACCACTACACATAAGACCATCATTGCCATCCTTGCCATTTTTCAAGTATACGAGCACTAAAGCTGTAGGAAACTTATATGTTTGCTAGTTATGTTATTGAAAATGTGTTTGGTGCAACAAACGTTGTCAATGGTTAGGGTATTTATAATTAAAGATTCTTGTTCTGTCTATGCATATGTGTGTGAATGGATAGGTTAGTTGGAAGTTGGATTTGATATTAATGGAACCTTAATGTACACCTTTGATGTATAATCTTCACCAATTAACTGTAAACGTTTCATTTAACTTCATAAAAACGACGGAATTCGGTTTTAAATATATGGCGAACAATGTATCACCGTGAATGCCGACCATATATATGCTGCCGTGTGGACTTTATGATCGTCAATTATCAATAAATGCATTTGTTTTTTCTCGAGACAAAATTGTACACCAACATTACTCACTTGCATATCTGGCACTCGTTAGGCATAATTGAAAGAGTAAATAAATGAAAATAATAAAATATATTAGTAAAAGAACATGACTAAAAAGTTTACTCAAAATGATTTTGTTTTTCTATAGCAAAATATATTGTTTTTATATCTTGATATTTAGTATAATTTATGCATTTAAGTTTTAAATATGTTTTACAAGTTTTTAGTAGATACATAAGGTTTAAAACAGCATTGCGTTTGTGGTTTGGCCGATTTTATGAGATAATTTTGTAATGCTCCCCTCAATTTTTTACACTGCATTTGTGTCGGAAATGCTTTTGAAAATTAGAGAAATGTTTCGAAAATGTTGTCACCAATTAGTGTCACGCTCAATTTTAGTCAGAAATGCCTGATAATTCTATGAAAATGAGTTGTGTGTGAAGTCTATTGGTACTTCCAACAACATATATTTGTTGGAAAATTGTCCTTAGGAAAATGGTCGCTAAAAGTTCCCTATGGCATGTTTTCCGAAGAAATTGTTTTTGTCGGCAAACTGTTGCGTAAAGTTGTTAACTACACTTTTTTTTGGAACCGGCGATAATTTATAAAAAGCAACAGCCATCAAGAAACAGGCTGGGCAAAAAAAACAATTACTTAGTGAGTAAAAGATATAATTTTCTTTATCATGATACACTGTATAATAAATCACATGAAAAACTTATATAATTTCTTTTCTTAGTACAAACAAAACAAAATGCTTTTTTATTAGTAGAAACATTTTTAAGTGATGGAGTTTTAGAAATATAAAGCAAAAAAAATAGATCAAAAAATGTTTTTCAATAGGTAGAAACAGGATGAACAATTTTTGAACTTATAAAAAATTTATTGTGAAATAATAAAACTGCATGAGGAACTAAGTATTAAAAGTAACTATAAGGTCTAACTATTGACAAGGGATGGACTCAATATTTTTTATTTTTATTTTATTATGTTTATTAGGTAAGTGTTATCATGCTTTTTGGAACGGAAAAGAATTTTATAGAGTAAAAGCCAATGAAATAAAGATCAAATACAATTTTTCTAAATTTTTATTTATTTTTTTTAGTTTTATTTTTATTTTTTCGGAAACGGCTAACGATTTTATAAATGAGTCACACCTATCAAGAATCTAGATGAGCCCAGCAAGAAAAGTACAAAAAAAAGGTTACAGGGAAAGAAAAAGGAACAAGAAGCAAAGAAATACACCACATTATAAAAGAGAAAAAGGAGACACGATCCAATCACACCACCGAATACTTCCCATTGATCCCCTGTGTTTTAACCAATAGAAGACCAATGTTTGAATGTCATCAATAACCTGGGTTGGACTCCTTTTCTCCTGATTGAAGATCCTAGCATTTCGGGCTTTCCAAAGACTCCAGATCATCCCGTAACATATCATCGTAAGTATTCTCCTTTTCGTCGAACACTGACTCCAGTTGGCTGCAAAATGTAAGCGTTTCTCCGTGCTATCAATACATCCCGGATTAGTACCACACCAATTCATGATCCAGTTGCGCTCTATAACTGCTAACTCACACTGAGTGAAAATATGGTCTGCTGTTTCGACACAATTCAGACAATATCCATAATTTGGTGATGATGTTTGAACCCCTCTAACTTCCAAAGCCTGCGCTGATGGGATTCTACCCCATTTGGGCCTCCAGACAAAACACCGTACTTTGAGTGGGACTTCTTTCAGCCATTCAACTTTAGGACCGGGTAAGATAGGGGTAGATTCGTCCAGTTTATTCTGGAACGCCTCCACCATACACATCCCATTCACTCCAATTGTGCAACTCCAAGTATCCGATCTGTTTGATATACGAGCCTACCCCAACGACGCTTCGAGATGACTCAGGTTTCGGTTCAGATGTGGTGCCATGGGATCCGAGTTCCAGTCCCATGTGAATCCATCGTTTGATATACGTTCACTAACTAGACATCTTTTCCTGCAATCAATGTTAAATAATTCCGGGAACCTCGATTTTAAAGTTTCATTTCCCCACCAAACATCAACCCAAAACAATGTGTCCCGTCCATTCCCAATCGCCTTTTTGAAAATATTGTTGTGTTCCAATCCAGCTTTCTGAACTTCATTCGAGGCCCATGCTATGTTATTCCACACTCCACTTATAGTCTTTCTTGAAAGTTGGTCGGCTGTCCGCTTCTTAAGATTGTGTATCCCATTGATGACGTGACACCACAAGGCAGATTGGTCCACCCTTAGTCTCCACCACCACTTGACCATAAGTGCAATATTTAGATTGCGAAGCGATCCCACCCCAAATCCACCTTTCTCAAGTGAAGTAGTGACTCTATCCCACGATACCCAATGCATTTTGGATCTATTCTCACACCCACCCCACAAGAAACGCCTTCTGATCTTTTCTATCAATTCTTGAAGTCCAAAGATAGATGCTCCAACTAATGTCTCAACAACGAGCTGCTTCCCTTGGCGCCTTCCTCCGCCAATCAATAACGGTTACTAAAACCACTAAATCCTGACAATACTGAATAACCATCCTGTGGGACCCGGTCCGCAGACCTCCCATATAATACCCTTCTTCCCAAAGTGCTCCAACAAATCCCCCCGCTATCGGCTCTAGAAATCATATCATTCAGGGTCTCGCACTTGACTCACTCACCAGCTCGATTATCCACAGCTGAACTGCAGTAGCTGAAACAACCTCTGCAATAGCTGAAATAACCCATATAAGGACAGGGAACCAACTCCCAACCCAACCCTAGGGGTTGTGACTTCCTTGCTACGCGTATGGGTCCTGTGCTTTCAGTAGTACGGGCCCATACTACCTTCCACACCTACCCATATTTGTCTCAAGTATCACCACAACACCCTAACAATATACATACACATGGTGGTCACCCAACCTCACTTCTAGAGGAATGCTAACTGTCTCACAACTGACCTACCGATCTCACACAAGCCACCCACCTATGAAACTTCCACCAACCCTGCAGCACCAGTGTATGCTAGTCATACATAACGTTGGACCCTATAGACTTTCGAATACTTGATCCTACCCTAAGCCCTTCATCAAACAAGAACAGGAAATAAGGCGAAACCAAACATTCTCAGTCTATAAGATCTTAGTTTATGTACGACCGTGATGCATACACTAAGCCACTACAGTAATTATGTCAATCTCATATAAGGAAAACCCTAGGCTACCAGGCATAATGTAATAAGGCAATTCTATCATTCAATTCTTGAAGATCCCTAGCCTAGCACTAGCGTGCTGTTCTAAAATATCACATAATCAAATAACTGTATGGTATTTTGGGGTCAACTTACTAGCTTCGGCTGATCGTACACCCTGCATCCTCCTTTACTTATTTTGAAAACCATTTGAAAATCATTTTGAAAATCTTTTCCTTTATTTGAGACTGGAGTCACACGAGTGTTCCTCCAATTCACTCAAACCAAGGCTCTGATACCAACTTGTAACACCCATAAAAATCATGCCAAATTTAAACTTTTAAAAACATTTCAAATCTATTAACCATTACAAAACTTGTTTTCAAAGTGTATAATATCAGAGTATCACAGAAACAAGGTCATAAAAAGTGAGGAGCCCTACGATCACGCCTTTGCCTTGCCACGATCCCCTGATGCACCTGAAACAATAAACTGAAACTGTAAGCCCGAAAGCTTTAGGGAGTTCCCCCAAATAACCATACCCGCAACAATACACATATATCATAACAGCATACATGGGTCCAGTCAACCATCGGGTTTGGAAATACCCCGGCCCTCAACATCCGGTTGGAATGCCAACACACGATTGCTCCAATCATCCTCGGGATGGAATACCCCAGGCAACAACCAACGGTTGGAATGCCCACATCTATGATGCAATCATCCTCGGGATGGAATACTCACGGCCCACAAACAACGGTTGGAATGCCCAAAATACGATAACTCCAATCATCCTTGGGATGAATACCACGGCCCACAACCAAAGTTGGAATGCCCATGTCTATTGGCTTTCGTATAAAGCAGATAACCCTCAACCGCCAAACAAACATGTGCAGATATAACAGATAATCACATAACAGTCTATAGACAACAACTGATCTAACGGATCATACGACATACCACATAATATTATCCTACCCTCTAGGATACCGATCTAGCAGGTCATACCACACATCACATAATTGTTGGGTTTTGAGCATTCTAACACTCCTATGGTGTACATGCAACCCTATAAACCTTGGATCTATGTTTTCTCTATTATACATGCAAATATTAACTATTCCAAGGTTTCATCCTAACTAGCATATTATGAAGCACCTATACTACAAAGTTCTAGTTAGATGACATACCTTTTGATGTAGCTTGATGTCTTCAAGCTTTAAGAGCTTAGCCCCAATAGTGTGGAAGTCTCAAATGGAATCACAAATCACCAAAACACCTTGGAAGAACATTAGAGAATATGTATGCACACTAAAATCGGCCCACTCTTATTTTCACACACTTGTGCCAATTTTGTGAGCCAAGGACCCCTTTTATATTATGGAGGATTAGGGTTACATCCATGTAAACCCTAATACCCATGACCTTTCATTTACATAGGATCCATGGGTTAAAAGCTCCATGGACCATCCATGAAAGCTTAGCCCAACCTAAATGAACTTGGCCCATTCCATATATATAAGAGTCCATATTTAATTAGTTCTTTTTGATCACTTAATTAATTCTAAATTAATTCTTGATCAATACTAATTAAATAATATGATTCCATATTAATATATTAGAACTTATAATATATTAATATAAATCATAAATATACTATTCTCAAAAGACTATCCATATAAATTGTGCCGGTGAAGTGCAACCCAAATGGACCATGCCGGGTCGGGTCAAGTACATACCAAATATAGTTATGGACTTAGACATTAATCCAACAGTCTCCCACTTGGATAAGTCTAAAACTATTATTGAGTATGACTTCAAAACCTAACTGGCAATCGTAGCTCTTAAAGCCGCTGTCGAACTCTGACCTTGTCAATGACTTGTCCATTAGATAAGGGATCATATATTCCTCCATTCTAGATATCATATGGACTGAGACATGGATTATAATCATTCTCTCTGTCCATTTGTTGTTTCCCGATTTTCGATTTATGATGACTGACTGATTGAACAAATCAAATCAGTCCTGGCTTGGCCAAGCACTCACATGTGTCATCGCTAAATCATCGAGGGGCCCACAGATATCGCTTTTATCCCGAAGGTAAAAGGAATGGATAAACTTCGACTCATATGGCTTGTTCTACTACTTGTTGAATCATACACAAAGGCACGTTTTATAACATCGAGTTACCAAATGCGTTTTCGTGCAATCAATGTATAACCAACTCATAGTAACAACTCATATCTCTAGGTTTGAAGAATATAAGATATTATCGTCTCATGATCACTCGTGATAAAATCCATGAAGTGATTCAAATGAGCGCGGGTTGAATCCAATACTCAGAACTTATGAGCACTCATGAGTGTTGTAGCACCACTTTGTCCACCAACTTGGACCTCTACAAACCAACCCATGACAGTCTTGATTCATATCTACTTCCAACATATGACCGACTGTGGATGGTTTGAATAACTTAATCATTCAGGAAGAGCGACTTAGTTATTCTGGAAGTCAAAACATGCAAAGTGAAACACAAGAATAAATGAATCAAATATGGTATCAAACCCTATGAATATAAATAAACACTTTTATTTATCACCATACTGATTACTCATTATTCATTGTTTCGGTTTTATCAACTTTATACTTGAATTAAAAACACTAGTTGTCCCATGCTCCAAGCATGTACACTATGTTTTTCTTAAACAATAGCTTTGCCATACACCAAGTATGCACTCTATGTTTGTCTATGATCCTTACTTTGTGAAATAAACCAATTGAACATAATTTCAATGATTCTAATTTCACACTCCCAAATCCTTATCGAAAAATGTGAGAATTTCAAATTCCTATCATTTATCGAAATCTGTTTAGATTTTAAACTTATATGCACTGACCCTCCTGTAATGAATATGTACAAAGTCACAAAGACTTGTCAACAGTCATTATAAGGTATTCCAATGGAGATCAACTCCATGGAAACTAAGTCTCATATTCAAAGTACATTGCTTTGGACATGCTTCTTGCATTAAGTTTTCTAATCTTACACAGATAACTTCCACCTATGGAGACAACTCCATATTCTCATTTTGACTATCACTTCTGAATAAGAGATGCCTCTTTTCAGAATATGTCAATATGGTCCTTCCAAAATTAGCACTATACTTCCAACTGTCCCTGAGCAACCAATCTTTGGTAAACCTCAGATTGTCCTCGACAATTGCTTAATCATTTTAGTCATATCCAATTCTAGACCTTTTCCCTTCTTAATGCCTCTGGGCATTTGGAAAAATTTAGAAATGACAAATATTATAGCACATGCAATCGATCCTGTACCCAAAGCAAATGGTACACGATTCATGATGTCTCACATAAAGACATGATTCTAGACCAGTCTTTTGCTACAATATTTTTATTTGCCATGTTTTCAAAATTTGACTATGAAGAGGGATGCCGTAATCATAATCGAATTTTGAGAACGCAATATATAGAATTTCCTTAAGTTGAACCAATCCAACATGAAATTCATATATATATTCTTGACTAAAGATGATTAAGGTCTCAATCTAAGCCTTTAGAACTGAAATGAAGTATATCCTCTCCCTTAATTATAGCA